AAAATTTTAATGTCAAATCGATCATGATTGACAGATCATTACTTCTTCAATAAACATACTGATTTTACATTTTTATAAACAGAAAGCTTATTTTAGGCCGAGGGTGACGCCCTACTACAGGGTGTCCCAATAAACATGGGAATTCAGTGACGAATTCGATATCGTCTTTTCAAGTAATTTTTTGATTTAGTATAGTGATACCTACTGAGAAAGCTGTAACCTGTAGGAGTTTTGTCTGCTATGTTCACATTTTGTTTGTTTATGTTTTGACTCCATACGTTTGTACTTAGTAAAACAAGAAAATTACAGTATACAAACAGTGTAAACTTGTCCGTCTTCACTGTTCATCTTCCGGATGCATTATTGACCCATCTTTACAGCCATTTAGCGTTTTCATAAATTAAACTCTAGCAGACATAATAATATTATGACTTTTGAAATTAGGTATTTCAATGCTAATTCATAACAAAGACGATATCCAATTCGTCACTGAATTCCCATGTTTTTTGAGACACCCTGTAACACCACCACTAGTTGACACTTTTTTATCAAATGATAGCTAAAAAATTAAAAGATATTATATTTAAAAACATATGTTTTCTAGTATAAAACTTATTAAAGACAAACTCGCTGAATTTTGTAGAAAATTTGTTGAGCAATTATAACGGCCTTAGTTCCCGTACAAATAAAAGTTCAAAGTTAAAAGTTAAAAGTCAAAAGTTAAAAGTTAAGTCTGATTTAAGATTTCTCGAAATTTTTTTTTCTTGTCTATAGCTTGCTGGGAACTGGAAAAATTACTAATTTTAGAAAAAAATCTGATTTATAGATACCCCATTTTTCATTTAAATGATTTAAATTAACAAATTGGTTTTCATAATCTTTCATATTTTCTAAAATAGTAGTACAGTGATAAACAGAAAACTGTGGAATGCAACGGCATTATACTTATTACAATATTTCAGTGTATTTGATGTTGTTACAAAGCAAATAGTTTTATTAGTAAGTTATTAAATCATTACCATGTGAAATTGGTCTGTTTCTACTGCCCACTCGTTGTGACATGTTCATTGGACCATAGTCATGATTTGAGTAAATTAAAGCCATCTTACTGTCTAAAAGAAATAAACTTTAATATTTAAATCACAATTAAATCTGGGTGATTTTCAGCTTTTTGTTATCAAAGGAATTGGGCATTCGCCACAAACTTAAGATATTCGAATCCCTTTGATATCTTTGCAAACTTATGATGCAAAACATTGAAATTTTAAACTTTGATTAGTTAATCTAACAGAGTTTGATGTTTGAAAATTCTAAGGTTTATTGCAGGTTGCAAAGCTATAGGGATTAGAAAATCAGACGGTGTGGCAAGGACTCAATTTCTTTTAGGTGTATTTTCATATTTTTAAGACTTTTTTATTTATGAAATTTTTGAAAAATCTTGCTTAATTTTGCAAAAATATAGTTTGGTACATGTATCTCAGAAATTTGTCCAAAGCAAAACACATTTTTTCCCTGTACTTGGTTCTTTAGAATTTGAAAACGTAAAGTTTGCAACTTCTCTAAAGGTTCTTCAGACTCTATATTGAACATCATTTAATGAGTTTTACAAGTTGAAAACATGCGTCAAAAGGTGCAAACATTTAGAAAAATATATTTATTTGAAAAGAAAGTGATCAAATTATTATTTTGTTTTTTTACTTTCATTCCCGGTCCTTCATTCTGTTTTTAAAACTTTTTATCTCTCTTTAACCGTGTTTTTAAATTAAAAATAAAAGATATTTTTATTTAGATTAGGCTGTTTATAACTTATTACTATAATGTCAGTTTTGACTCGATAAGATGCCTTCTTTACAGGTTAATAGTAAAGCAAAATATTTCTTGAAAATTAGCAAAAGAGCAATTTATTTTGAATTTTTTATTCCCTGAAAATTCGATGTTCTTTCTGAGGGATCTGAGTCTGACGTTTTTACGCGGGAAAACTTTTATTATATATAGTTGATTTTTGATAAGCGTACATTTACATACTCTTGATGCCTACTTCAATATCTACATGAGTGTAATTACTCATGCACTGTTTACAGCTTGAAATTTGCTTAAGTTTTATAACCTCCTCCATTGTTTTTATGGCGAAAAACCGCAAGTCACTTCTAGAGGAATCACAAGTGAAAATACCCGTTATTTTTTCGTGTGTTCTTGATTATTATTGTGAAATTTGTTATGGAAGGTAAAGCTTGGCACGTTTTATCTTCTTCAAACCGTTTTTAGATAACATTTTATGTAGCTTTAGTTAGTTTTAGAGGGCAAGAACAAAACTTATTTGCGTTAACAGTAGTTTCCGTTATTTTTTAAAGGTAATGTGAGTTAACAATCTCAATTTTATTAACGGTGTTGAAATCTTTTTCAACTATTATTACAGAATTAACCGTCAATGAAAAACCGTTAATAAAATCGTTAATGGCACAGCCGTTAACGGTCTTTTAAGTTATTAATAGCGTTTACGGTGCAAAGCGCCAAAAAAAATTAAAACATCAAAATACGTACTTTTGTTTCCAAATTCTATGCATTTTTTGCAGAAAAAAAAACTAAATTCACTGTTTTAAACAGAAAATTCGTTTTACTTTCAACCGTTATTTTTTTCGCTAACAAAACCTAATGGAGGGTCATTCAAATTTACAACTACAGCCCTTTACAAGGGAATACTTTAAATATGAAATATAAATGCCTGTTTGAGAAATTTTTTATTTCAGATGAAAATGTTTCTTGATACTCTGCTTTTATCTCTCTTTTGCTATGTGCCAGGTAAAGCCCCCCTCCCCCCACCCCGAGGTCGAGGTATATTATCGAGAAAAAATCCACGTAAAAAGTCAGATTTTTATCAAGGACCGAGCTTTTGTATAAAATCATAAAATAACAGCTGATTAAATATTGAATAAAAAAAATTTTCAATATATAAATAATTATACAGTGGTCGGTGATTATATTAATACAATGAAGACGACTTTGTTGTTTAAGTTTAGATTGTTATTACAAGCTTTTTTTGAATTACAAGTTTACTAGTCTGGGAAGAAATTATCCTCATTGGAGTACTATTGGAGACCCCATGGACGTCTCGTTGGAAACTCACAGATTTTCGTTGGCGATTCCAACGAGAATCTGTGGGTCTTCAACGAGAATCTGTGGGTCTCCAACGAGACGTCCATGGGGGTCTCCAATAGTAAACCGATGATGATAATTCTTCCCAGACTCGTAATTAAATATAAGTTTTTTTGATAGCTTTTCTTTGGTTTCATGTTTACGTGTATTCACTATTCATGATGTTAATAAGCTTGACAAAATGAAAGTCGTCTTCATTGTTTTTATATGTGCAACGAAGACTAATTGTTTAATATAATGTCTTTTAATAGTTTCATTATTTAATTTTTCAATCCAAGAAAGCACAAATAAATATTTGTGGATATTTTGAATACAAAACTCAAAATAAATTAAAAAATCTCACTTTCAACATTTTTAACATTCTTTCGTTGTTGTATTTTCAGGGCTAATACATCAATATGACTTTACGTACGTTTACACTTTGCTTGTATTTTCAGGGCTAATATATCAATATTTTCAGGGCTAATATATCAATATGACTTTACGTATACACTTTGCTTGTATTTTCAGGGCTAATATATCAATATGACTATCTATACGAATACACTTTGCTTGTCTGCTTGTTTGTCCATTTGTGAATGATAAACGCCAAAACACTGGAACGATTTGGCCAAAATAAAGTTTATTTTTTTTCAAATCCACAACTAATTATGTCATTGAAAGGTAAGCCTAGATACAGTCATAACCAGAAAACTGAGGAATAGGAAGACGACATTATAGCATTTCTGAAGTGCATTTTATGTTGTTTAAAGCAAATAGCTTTACTTGAAACTTATGAAATTACTTAATTATTGAGTTTAAAAGTCGACTTCCTATTCCAGAGTTTTCTGGTTATCAGTTTAAAGATTAAATATCGTTACTTTTTATTTACTTCTTATTGCAGCCTTATCTTGTGGCAAAAAAAGTATAGTATTTTTTCAATATTTTTTCATTTAAAAAAAAAAAAATTTTGGTACTCCAATGGGCAAAAAAATCCGCGAAACTTTTTTCTCTTAAAGTTCAGAAAAGCATAACTTTCTATAAATATTATTTATTCAAATTTTAGAGTTTTATAAAGATTGAATCAAAGAATCACAGAAAATTTGCAAAATTGCAATAAGAAAATGGGCAATTTTCAGTTCTAGTCTATTTTTTAAGGAAAAGTTCTTTAAATCCTCTAAATCCTTTCTTCTTAGTATATTCTAAAGTTATAAATATACGCTGTTCAGTTTAAAACTGAGGAGCCATTTAAAAACAACTTTTCCTTAAAAATTAGACCCTTATAACAATTTTGCGAATTTTCTGTGATTCTGTTATTCAATATTTACAAAATTTTAGAATTTGATAGAAATATATTTATATTCATATTTGCTTTTCTGAACTTTAGATTTTGAAAGAGAAAAAAGTTTTGCGGATTTTTTTTGGCCTTTAGGAATACCAAAAAAAATTCCCAAAAAATATTGAAAAAGTAACATACAGGAGAGTTGCACAAAACAAGTACAATTTTGCACCAGACTCCGCTATTCAGACTTTTTTTTGACTCGCCTTGTATATAAAGTTGATTCAGTAATAAATAAAGAAAGTGCATAAGCTGCAGAAAATTAAGAAATTTTAAAACCGGCCAAGAATATAAATATTGTAATAAATCTTAAACTCACAGCGAAGGCGTACTAAGGGGGCTCCGCCTCCCCCCCTGGAAACAATGAAATATTTGACTTCCAGAAGGGTTTTACGCCCAAACGGGTGCTGAACCCTCCCCCCCCCCCCTCGGTGAAAAATTCCTTAGTACGCCTGACCTTCGTAATTACTCTCATACTGCAAAATATAAACATAAAATGAATTCAAACATAGTGACATAAAACAAAATAAAAAAGATTAAATATCTAATTATATTATAGTCCTGACATTAAACAAAATCAATTAACTACGCACTAGTTCTTCTTTCGCTTTTCAAGTTTTTTCTGAAAAAGATTGATTGTTTATTTCTGTGATAATGATGATATGAACTTCAGAGACAAAGCTAATTTTTCATTCAGTATTTTAAACTGTGTAGAGTCTAACCTTTAAAACAAATCTTTGTTTTTTTTTCTCAAAAAATATATTATATCATTGTTGATAATCTTTAATACTTTTCAGAAATTTTCTTTCAATTCAGAATTTTTTCTTAAATTTTTATAAATTTAAATACTTTTTATCTAAATATTTCGACACTTGTGTTTGTTTCCCTTATTTTAATCTGTTTATGTTCATCGAATTTACTGAATGTGTATGTGGGACCTGTCAAAGCCCAGAAAATGGATATAACCAAGAAATGGTTTTTTACTCTGTTAATGTATAAAAAAACACTTTACAAGAAGCCACAAATGAAAATTATCAATTGTTAGAAGGAAAAACTAGGATGTCTTTAACATTTTTTAATTTAGCTCTATCGGGCATGCTTCACTTGAGAATAACTTGAAATAACTTTAACAATCCCTTCAAGAAAAAAATTAACAATGGACCTGTAGTTGCGACATCATATCCATAGGTTCTGGGGCAACCTAAAAATATAATGGTTTCAAGTAATTTCAAGTCATCTTCAATGCAAAGAATCACAGCGGTACCCAAATCTGATCTATTATGTGGAGGATATTGTCGTTTTTCTAGAATTAAAAGGTTAAAATTCTATATTTCCGCTATGTTTTTTTGCAGTAGAAATGCGCGAGCTCCTTTTGTAGAGAAAACACAAAAGAAAATAATCAGAAAAAAAATCAGAAAAATTGAGTTCTTATTTAAACCTGATCAGACAAAGCTTTTAAGAGAACCGTTGTGAATCGGGCATTGTCTCTTTGCATGGATGGTTGCTTGAAATTATGCTTTATAAAGTCCCTTTAGTCTCTTTAATACAAAAGGAAAGTAATTTTATGTTTGAGTTTTATGTCGACATGTTTTTATGACAGGAATACAAACATGTAATAATACAAATTATTTTCTTTTTGGGTCTTTCATTTATTTTTAACACAAGTGATAATTTGAAAGCATAATAAATTATAATTTTGAAAAATTTTAACTTCTTGATTTGCTCAGTCACTTTAAACTTCAAATTGAGTCTACAGTCCCTTTAAACTTCAAATTGAGTCTACAGCCCCTTTAAACTTCAAATTGAGTCTACAGCCCCTTTAAACTTCAAATAGAGTTTACAGTCCCTTTAAACTTCAAATTAAGTCTACAGTCCCTTTAAACTTCAAATTATGTCTACAGTCCCTTTAAACTTCAAATTAAGTATACAGTCCCTTTAAACTTCAAATTAAGTCTAAAGTCCTTTTAAACTTCTAATTGAGTTTACAGTTCCTTTAAATTTACAAATTATGTCTACAGTTCCTTTAAACTTCAAATCAAGTCTACAGTCCCTTTAAACTTCAAATAAAGTCTACAGTCCCTTTAAACTTCAAATTGAGTCAACAGTCCCTTTAAACTTCAAATTAAGTCTACAGTCCCTTTAAACTTCAAATTAAGTCTACAGTCCCTTTAAGCTTCAAATTAAGTCTACAGTCCCTTTAAACTTCAAATTCAGTCTACAGTTCCTTTAAACTTTAAATTCAGTCTACAGTCCCTTTAGACTTCAAATTAAGTCTACAGCCCCTTTAAACTTCAAATTCAGTCAACAGTTCCTTTAAACTTTAAATTCAGTCTACAGTCCCTTTAAACTTCAAATTCAGTCTACAGTCCCTTTAAACTTCAAATTAAGTCTACAGTCCCTTTAAACTTCAAATTAAGTCTACAGTTCCTTTAAACTTCAAATTAAGTCTACAGTCCCTTTAAACTTCAAATTCAGTCTACAGTTCCTTTAAACTGACCTCCTCACTTTCCACCGTCTTCTTCAGCCCTGTGTTCTTCCTTAAAAAGAAAAATAATTTTTGAGAAAAAAGTTTACGAAATGAATTTAAAAAAAGTATTGGAAAGGAATAAATGTAAGTCAGGTGGTTTAAGGGATTGTTAAATTTGGATAATATGAGAGCTACCAATTTGAAATTAGAAACTCTATAATTTTTTATATTTCAACTTAATGCTAAGCCGAAAAACATAATTTTATTAAACGTTTTTCAAACAACTCACAAATTAAAAATATAAAATAAGATCTATTAATATTCTAATCTCTTTTAAGATCTAGATATTTATTATATTATATAAACTGCACAAAATTGTTCACATGTATTTAATACAACTATTTTACGATACTATCGTGTACATATATTCTTATTTTAGTTAATAAAAAATCAAACGGATACATTTTATCGTTTTTTCCTGTTACAATTGATGTTACGTTTATATTCAAGTATTGATAAGACTGCATTTCAGGATAAGAAGGAAAAAAAACTACATTATTTATAAAAGGATAGCATTCCATTAGCAGTAGGTTTGAAAATCAATGAAGTAGTGGAACATTTAATGCATAAAATAAGTTGATGTTGACGAGACAGGTTTATGTGGATTGAATAAAATTATTACTATGTAACAACATACAGATTGAGAGCTCTACCAACGAAGTACATTGATGGTTCTTCGTTGGTGTGGCTGCATATTATTTTAACTAATTAAGGAATATGCCAGCGCGGAACATTGATAGTTCCTTGCTGCATATTATTTTCAAGCCTTTATAACCGACGTAAAGGTAGGAAACTATGTAATTAAGAAAACATATACCAGAGGACTAGACTTACGCTGAACATTGATGGTTCCGCGCTACTGTCCAGGACGCTTAAGAGAGATTATGGTTTAATCTCTTCATATTCATCATATCTTTTAGATTCTAGAGTGAATATGTTGCTCGTTTGTATTATTTTCGAGCCTTTATAACCGACGTAAAGGTAGGAAACTATGTAATTCAAGAAATATATACCAGAGGACTGGACTCACGCGGAACATAATATTCTAATCTCAATGCACACACATGCACACAATCCCGCTAAAAAAAATCGGTTCTTTTAAACTATTGGATTCATTTTTTAATAGAGCTGCTGGGTGTTAACTTCTAAAATTAGGGTTAGGAATAAATGCCGCAAACCTTTACAAAGATCAAATATCAAGTCGTCTTTCTACTGTCATTAGTTATGCAAACTCTCTTCAATTCATTAAATTTCGACCCTGGTTGATAATAATAATAAAATTGTTACTTTGCTACCAACTGTTCAGCTAAAGACAAGGGTTTCGAACCAGTATCTCCTAAAAAACAGAACAATACATACGTTTACAGGGTTACCTACAAAGAACTCACAAATTAAAAATATAAAATAAGATCTATTAATATTCTAATCTCAATGCACACACATGCACACAATCCCGCTAAAAAACCCGGCTAGGGAATTTATCAGTTTTTTTATATTCAGGATTTCCTGCGACTGTAAAGTGTAAACTTATTTCTTTCTTCGTCAAATCATTAAACAAGTCATATAATACCATATAATACCATATAATACCATATAATACCATATAATACCATATAATACCATATAATACCATATAATACCATATTTAAGACAGAAGACTTAATTTAAACTTGGGATTGTCAGATTGAAAGAGCTTACGGTCGTCTTTACAGCCTTATTCTTTGTGGGTAACCCTGTACAATTACAGTGTGCACAATAGAACTGTTTTACAAAGAATAAATATTTATTATATTTTCTGAGCACGTGATCGTTACATACACCTGGTGTCGTATATCAATTAGCTGCGACAATCTCACCCCCCCCTCCTCCAATTTCAAAACTTTGTAAGACACTCAGACATAGCAATGTTTAAAAATGGCAAAACAATGGAAAACTCTTACTTATTAATTTTTAGAAAAATATTCATGTGTTGGATAATTTAAATGAAAGACGACATTTAAGGGTCAATACCCCTTGTTGATCAGTAAGACCGTTAACGATTTCTATATCGTTTTTACGATCGTTTTCGACCGAACTTGAAATAGCGATAGTTTTATACTGAACGAACAATTTTCGAACAAACTTTTGAAAAAAAAACTTTAGGCTTTACTGAACAAACAGTTTACTTAACAAACGAATTCATTGAACGAACTATTGGATTGTATGATTGTTAAGTTATTAACAAAATGGATGGAAAATTAATGATAATTCTGAAAACAAACTAATTAAAATTTTAAACGAACGACAGAAAAAAAACTAACCAAATGTCTCGTTAACAAAAAATTGAATAAAACTTGATAGACTCAAAGCTTTAATGGGAATGTTTTAAATCGGGCATTGCCATCTTGCATAGAGGGTTACTCGAAATTACGCTTAAATCCCTTTAAATGTGAATTTACTCAGGAAATTTCAATGTTTTAGCACTGCCTTTATATGTTAACATTGTGGAAAAATGATGAACTTTTGGAATGAGAGGGGGGGGGGCGGGGGAGAATGAATGTTCTACAGTTTGTATTGGAAATTGGGTTTTATGAATGCAATTTTTTAGATATCGATATTTTGTTCGGCAATATTATGTCGAATGTCGAATGTTTGAGATATATTTTTTCCTTTTTCTCTTTCTTAGATTAAAATTTACAAAACTGTATAGACCGCTAAACATTGAGGGAGAATTTGGCTCTTTTGGAGTATATTTTTGTCGCACAAGTTTTTCGCACAGTTTTATGCAATTGTTTTGTAAATTCTCGAATTGCTAATTGCTAATTCTTTGGGCGCAAGAAAATTTCAGCACTACTTTGATTAGATTTTCGTAAGTGAAGTTTTTCAACGCAGCAAAATGAGGAAAACAAATTTGCATATTTCTTGAATCTAAACTTGATTTCTTCTTTAAAAATATATTTCTTTGAGAGAAGAACTTCAAAAGCATTTAATATATTTACATAAAAAAGTACGTCACAGAAAGAAACATTATTGATTTTATAAGTTTTCCTATTTTAGACTTAAATTAGATCATTTTCAATAGTTCTGTATTGTTTTTTGTTACATATGGATTTACATTAAAATCAAAGATTCAATTTTACTAATTTTTTGTGTGTTTTCTTATTTAGTGTTTTCCTTCTAGTCTATAATTACACAATTTAATCTTTTTCACGACAAAGAAAATATTTTGTAATTTCATAATATCAACTTTTAAAAGCTTTCAATGGCTTAAAAGAAAAAGTCTTATTCTTTCACAAGAACAAAAGTATTAATCATCAATTTGACGAGTAATGTTCTCAGCTATCAAAGATTGCCATAAAAAAATAATAATTTCTCAACAAACATGGATGGACATTGAAGAATAATCTGAAAATAACCAAGAAAACAACTATATATATTATATAATGATAATCAAATTAGAATGTTTTAATTATTTTAAAGGGACTGTTAGTTTTAAGTGACTCTACGTTTATGTCCACAACAATACCCTAAAAATCACTGTCTGATCAAGAAAACATGAAATATCAATTATCTTCTCTTACAAGATTGATTATTTTCAATTATGGGTTCTTTTTTAAAAAATACATGCGCATTTTTGCTGTAGAAGAAGAGGCTGAGGAAATTGTCAAATAAAAAAATAGCAGAAACACAAAGAATACGCGTTATTGAATCNGAAAATTACAAAATCCTTTTAAACATTATTGATCGCAATTTTAGTACTATGAAACTATCTTATATTCGGAAAAGATGAAAATTTCAATTTCTCAAAAAATCGTTTAATTTCAAAACAATCGTTTTGTTATGAAAACTTCCTATTTTGAATGATTTGTCTATCGATGTTTAACTTAGTTTCGCAATTCTTAAAGGGACTGTAAGCGTTATTTTAAGTGACCTTCCATGCAAATATGGCAATGCCCGATTTACAATGGTACCCTTTAAACTATAATCTGATTTAAAATATGGAAGATAACGTCATATTTATGACTAAAGGTAATTATTTCTGTGAGTTTCTCCATTGCTTCTTCTCAACAAGATATGCAGTTTAAAGAAACAAAAACGTTGATACATAATTTACATAGTTTTAATCAGACAAAGCTTTCAAGATTACCGTTGGAAATCATGCATTGCCATCTGTTTATTGGAAATTTTGCCTCTAATCAGGAGGTTATTTTGACTTTTCAACTGTATTTAATAAGAGCCAATAAAACGGTTATCAGAATTATATTAAATTGGTTTCTTTATCGTAACGTTATTGACTTTTCATCAAAACCGGATTTGTACAAGATTATAAAAGTTTGAGTTAGTTAAACTATCACAAACATATAAACCATCTTTTAAAAATAACAGAAGTTGACATAAAATATTTATTTTTTATCTATATTTTAGATCAGAATGCAAGGGGGTATGCAGTATGTCCAAAAACCATGATCTGCTAAAAGATATTTCCTCAAAATTTTGCACTGAACCGTTTAGAGATTATTTGCAAATTGTAATGTTTTCTTATATACACATTTTCTTTACTGGATCAAGGACTTTTTAAAACGTATAATTAATCATGATTTGCACAAGTGTTTTGCTTCATAACTAGATTTCGCGTAGTAAATATTTGGATTCTTGCGTATTTGCATATTTATTTTGTAGATTATTGAAGTA